TTGTTGATAACTAACATATTAGATCCCGTACGAATATTATAATAATTATTTACTCCGTCAAAAACAGTGTTTGAAAAGTATTTGTGGTTATGCAAATATTCTCAAAAGTGAGTAGTTTGTGTTACTGCTATTTACAGGCTGCAGGAAAAATGTAACTAATCTAATACACGTACGATGACAAAATTAAGTATATATAGTTATTCAATTTGAAATTCACTATTGGACTTTTGCTGCTGCTTCCCAGTGAACGTTTAACGTTTGTTTTATACGACTTCACTAACATCAATGGTTTTATAAAAATCAATAATTAACGTTGAACGTCAATTGATGCAGAAGTGAGGGTGAGAAAATAATTCCTTTTGAAATTAAAATAATTATAAATTTGATAGAAACGACTATACCTATAAGTAATGTGAACTTTTACATAAACCGTTATCAAAGAAGAAGAATCGTAATTAAGGTAATTCATCTTACAGTAGAAATAATAATAACTGATAATATTGCGAGAAGAAACTAAGAACTTGGAACATGGAAAAAACTATATGTAATATAGTAATATTATATATGATATATTTATTATTATATAATTTATATTATTTATAATTATTTTTATATATATTATATTTATAAATATAACATCAAAACAAAAGATTCATGGAAACGATTTAGATTGGGGGATAATAATTCAACAAAATAACTTAGAATGATGAATTTTTATACATTAAGTGAACACACAATCACGTAGCCAGAAAAATATTAATTTTTTAGGGAGGGAAGCAAAATTTTAAATGTTCCATCTTAATTAAGTACCAACTTTTTAATTTTTATAAATCCATCGAACAAAAGTCAAAATATAAAATTTGTTACTTTTTAGTTTGTTGAAACATGTTTTTTGATGATCACATGATATAACATTATACCCAGTGCTCGACTTGAGGGGAGACGCAGGGTTACGGCGTATCCTTTATAATTTTTAGAAATTTGAGCGTTCCCCTACTATTATGATATTATAATTATAACGCTTAACAAGTTTTGGAGACGCAATTTTTTTTAAGAGTTCCCCTTCTTTAATTTTGTCAAGTCGAGCACTGATTATACCTATGCCTTAAAACTATTTTTTACCTCACAAAACAAGCAAAACAAGAGAGGCGATTATAATCCGTTAATCCCCTCCCTGGCTATGTCGCTGCACACATATACACACACACATGCACGCGATCAGTACACTGATTTTACTAAGTTATATAAAATTAAATATATTTTTTTAAATGTTTACAAGAAACTTTAGAATTATGTCATATACAAACAGTTATGTAGGAATATATTAAATTTGTTTTATCGGTAATAATCTCATATTTAACAAGTTATACGATGAATTGTGATTTATTTCCCTTTCCTTACATACGGAATTAAGAATATTGTAAATGGTTTAATACGTAATATGTATATATGTTTTAATATTTTTTAATTGCATCACGCTATGCAATTAATTGACTGGAGAATAAGCGCGGAAAACAATAATAATACAACGCGAGTTTGTAAAAACAGCAGGATTTTCATTATTTTTCGAAGAAATCGTAAAACACTGTTTTTCATTCTATACATAAAAACTCGTAATTCGTACACCTACATATATGTATTTTCGCATAGTAGATATAGGTACACTACTCATTTACCGTTCGTCGTATATGACGACTTTCGTTCGTTCGTATATTAAACGCAAACAAAATATATATTTTCAAACAACCAAGTCTTGGCAATAAAAGAAAGAAGTCATTTTGACGTCAGTAAAACATGTGACCTACCGCAAATATTTTACGACTCCCACTGTATACTGTATATTTAAGAGTGTTCTTTACCCCACGTATATGGTTCGTGTTTATGTATATTCTATATAGTGTTATATGTTTACTCCACTGTATTATAATAAACTCTTAACAGGTTTAGATTTTGAAAACATATTTACATATATTTTAACTTTTTCCTAGTGCACTAAAAATGTCTACCCGAAAATAAAAATCATAAGTTATGGTCTTCTTGGTCGTAGGCTTGATGGCGGTTTTCGGGAGACGCCGTAAAAAGACACGTTTAAGCATTGATTTTAGAATATATTAATATAGTATATTCTAAAATCAATGGTTTAAGCGATTCTGGCTATCGGAACATGCGTTATTTCTTTACGTTCGTGATTATATATTTACAACGTGGTATTACCGTCGAAGTTCGGTAACTGTTTTCGAATGTTTCAAATTTATCGCACAAAAATTACTGTTACGATAATCGGTCCACCGAACCTCTATTGAAGTGATTTTGCCGGACTCGAATCTCGTACTGTAATACTTAAATTATAAGTAGGTGAACCGATCGTAATAATATGAATATAGTCCTAATATGTATAATATTAAAAAAAAAATATGTATAAAGATTCGATTGTATGCAATACGTTCCCGTTGGCGATTAACTTTGATTTTTAAAATCGCATAAAAAATAATTCTCATTCATTTTATTTTAAAAACCCAAAAATATTTTCACTTTCATCGATTTTTGTTTTTCTTCGAATAAACCGGAATCATCGAACTCAACATACAACCGTAATCATTGAATAAAAGTAAAAATTAAATTAAAAATTATTAAATTAATATTAATATTTAAATAATTTATTATTTAATTTAATAATTATTTAATTAATAATTAATTAAATTAAAAGTTAAAATTAAAACCAAATTTTACTTACTTTGTTTTATATGTAATTATTTCGCCAATTTCGTAAAGATGAAATATTTCCTTTGTGTTTTTTTAATCTTATCTTTTTGTTATTTTTCAAATTATTATAATAATTATTATATTTGACATTTTTTATAACTTTAAATAATAAAATTGTCTATAACTAATAAAGTACTAGCACTACCCCCCGAAATTTTCTCCGATGTCTAGGTTAAAATTTACAAATTTTACAAGTTTAAAATATAAAGAGCCTGTATTGAATATCTAGTATCATTGATTATAGGATAGTCTATTCTATTATCAATGCTATTATTTAAGTTAAAATATATTAAGGATTTGCATAATTTTGTTAATTGTAAAATGTATTATTTTTTTACCTTGACCCCCCCCCCAAAAAAAAAAAAAAAAAACCTGTGTGGGCCACTGCGTTAGAGCACAAACCACATAGTCAAATTGAGTAAATTTTACGAAATAAAATTCCAAACAATATAAAAACAATACAAAATAAATGTACCATTTGTGCATAGTATATTAGTACTACGGTACATACAACATAGACGTCACTATTGTAAACATTTCGTGGAAGAGTAAATTGCTTTTATAGTACGTTTATTTTGGGGTACGATATAAAATTGGATAACACTAATTGATCTTCCGCATGCGCACATACAAGTTACCCTCACCGCATCGTGCCCGTGAATAATCCAAAACGTATGTTTTATTTTGCTAAAAGCATGTACTTTTTGTCAATCCTACCGATCAACCTAGTAATGTGATAAGATGTTAAAAAAATGATTTGTATTCATTCCATCCCTATAGTGTCCAAAATCCATCACACACTTTGTATAATTAACGTTTTTTTATACGCTTTTATGTGAGATGTATGTTGTATAATAAATCGAGTCTTATAAATCATTATAACTGTGCACTCGATGTTCAATCTTACTTATGTTACATTGTACAACGGATAAACGATCCGACGACGTTCATAAAATTGGCTTATTATCTGCAGTAGTTTATAAATATATATGTATAACCATCTGTGTCCGTTTATAAATTATAATACTGTACCGGTCGTCGAGGCGGGTCGGTCTACAAGGAAAGAGTGCGCGAACATTCATTCCCGTGCGTTTAATAATTCATGTTCGATAAAAAGTAACGTGTAAACGATACGTTGTACTAACAGCACGTAGTAATTGCATGCGAATGTTGCGTTGTGTGCTTACCGTGCAATGCCGGGACGACGCAGAGACGAAACAAAAACCAAACACAAACTCAACTCTTTTTATTTCGAAAAAACAAAACATACCGAATTGGGTAAAAGTTCAACAAAAAATTAACAAAACTCAAATATTTTGTTGAAATTCTTTTCCAGCTCCAGAATTTTTTGTTGCTTTATAACTATGCGTTTCTCTTGTGTATTTCGAGTATAGGTTTTTATACAGACTTTAAACAAAAATGAATTCTTTAATTCTAACATTTAAATCAAACACGTACGTTCGTAAGACAGTACAACATATGTTATTAAACAGACCAATTGATGTTAAACGGTAAACAATAAATTTGTAACTACTAAAAATACTTTAATATGTTTTTATAGATCATCATAATGGTACTACTCGCAAAATCCCGAAAACTATTGTCTATATCAGTGGTTCCCAAACTGTGTGGCACGCCACCCAAATGAGGCGCGAGCAATTAACAAGGGCGGCGCGGCGCGCGGTTGGAATTTTATACATATTGTTATTTTTAGATCAATTTCATGTCCGATAAAAATCTTGTAGAAACGATTATCTTATCTTATCCATACACGACACATGTTGCAAACCAACTTAAGAATATACCTTTGTCTAATAATACTATTAGTCGGCGAATTCAAGACATCTCAGATAATATAAATGATCAACTTATTGATAAATTAAGGATTAACAATTTCGCGATTCAGCTTGATGAAGCGACCGATAATAATAAAGACGCATATTTATTTATATCACTAATAATTTTATGGATCATAATAATATTAAAAGGGAAAACTGTTTGGGCGTGTGTACAGATGGGGCTCGGGCTATGTCTGGTCAGTATGGTGGACTTCAAGCTTTAATTCGACAAAAAGCTCCAGAAATGATATGGACTCATTGTCTTATTCATCGAGAGGCTTTAGCATCACAACATTTAAGTTGCTCTTTAAATTATGTACTTGAAATAGTTATAAAAGTAGTCAACTATGTAAAAACAAGACCTGTTAAAGCAAGATTTTTTCAAAAACTGTGTGAAGAATGAAAGGCAATGTACTTTCAAGACTATTCGAACTTAGACAAGAACTTTATTCTTATTTAAATGGAGAAGGTTATAATAATAGTGAAATGTTTGTTGATAGTGATTTTGTAATAAAATTAGCCTATTTATGTGATATTTTTGAAAAATTTAATTCATTTAATATATCCTTACAAGGTAAAGAAACTCATATTCTGCAATTATACGATAAGATAGTTGCTTTTATTAAAAAAATTAACTTATGGAAAAGAAAATTAACAGAAGAAAATGGCAAAACCATTTGTTTTCCACTTTTAAAATATTTTCTTGGAGAGAATGACCTTGAATTACCAATGAGTTTAAAAACTATATTTTTAGAGCATCTGACGAATCTTGAAACTCATTTCATGAAATATTTCCCAGAAGAAATGAAACTGTACTATTGGATTAAAGACCCATTAACTGAAAAGCCACTATCAAATTTCACAACTACAGAAGAGGAACAATTAATCGACATTTCATCCGATTCTTCATTACGAATGCAATTTTCTTCATATTCACTTTTAGGATTTTGGAACAATATTAAAGATGAATATCCTGAAGTTAGCAACAAAGCTTTACGTATATTAATACCATTTGCCACTTCATATTTATGTGAAGCAGGATTTTCAGCTGTAGCCGTGTTAAAATCAAAATATCGATCCAAACTCAATGTGGATAAATAAATGCGTGTTGCAGTAACTACATTAATTCCTAATTTTGAAAAATTAACAAACGAAAAACAAGCACACTGTTCGCATTAATTATTAATTATCATGTTCGCATTATTAAGTTTACTGTTTTTTTTTGACATCAAAATTTTAATTTAAAACTAATAAATATTATATATTAAGCAATTTTTAACCTATTTTATTGAATATTCTTTGAGGAAGGCGTGAAAAAAATGTTTAATTATTAGGGAGCCTTGAATGAAAAAAGTTTGGGAACCGCTGGTCTATATGCATAATACATTACACGGGACCTGATAGTTTATGATTGCCGAACCAGTCGTCATTATATCTAAATTGATTTTTTTTTTCTAGTGTTAGACTAGTGTTCTTTACAGTTTTAATTTACCTATATGTAGTACATATTATGTACACTTTGTTAGTTATAAATATTATCTAAATTGATACCGTATTATGACCGATAACACATATCATAATTTATGTTAGGAATTTTCTAGACGATAATTTTTTGTTTTTTGCCGTGCACGTGTAAGAGGGTACCAAGTAAAGTGTTTTAAATGAGACAGAGCCACTGTCGCATTGCAATGACGAAATTTCTTTTCCCCGAGGGTCGCCCATTGCTGCGAATGAGCAAATCGAGACGTAAAATTCACCACCGGTGACTTGCATGAGGGTGGCACACAATATTGTGGTCACGTAGACCGACGAGAAAAATTAGAAGCTCATGCGTAGCAGCTTCGTAAAAACCATGCGTTTTCTCGTTCAGGTTAATCATTAATATCTAGTAAGTCATTAGTCGGGTTTTCCCATCACTAATATCTATTAAGATATGACTAGAGATGGGAGCTCAGTAAATTTACCTGGTAAATATTACCGATATATTTTTTACCGTTCTAAAAATCGAGTGACCATTTATTTCAAATGTTTTCATGTGAACATTAACACTAGTAACATTTCTATAAAGTTATCCGTGGTCGATACGTAATAATGAACATAATAGTAACAACTTTTCAACCAACTCTTCAATCATTCATATTTAAGTCAATTGATTGCGGCTTTAACCACCATACTGGTGAATACATTGCTGCTGAAATAAGTTCTGTAATTGAAGAGTGGGGTAAAGAGAAATGTCTAGGCCTTATAATGGCATATATAGGCAGCCGATCCACCCCGTTGGCTGTATTATAGTGTGCGTTATTTATTATTTATTTGCGTGTTGAATCGCAATACAATGTAATTTCCATTTAACTGCTGTCTTAACAAATCACTGCAAGCCAGGCAAGGGCGTATTTGAGGAGGAACAAAGGGGGCATTCGCTCCCCCCCCCCTATGGCTCGTATTTTTTTTAAATATAATACACTGATTTATTTAAAAAATGTAGTGTATAAATAATGAAGAATATAAATTACTAGTCTATCATTAATATGTTATCATTATAACAGGAACATGAGCTGTAAGTAATGAACTGTAAATTATTTTTAAGTTTGTATTGAAAAAAAATTAGTTTCTCCCCCCCCCCCCCCTTATGGCCTCAACTCAAATACATTCTTGAAGCCAAGTATCCAACTCGGGAGTTTTAGATTAAACGAACAAGCCAAGATCATCTAAATCGGTGCTTCTGAAGCTTTTTGAAATCACGGAACACCAAACAATAATATTTTTTTCATGCGGAACCGCTATGAAAATTATCTTCGTTGGAGGATGGTACACAAAATCTAGCGGTAAACGGTAACATTAACAATACACTAAATTACCTAAATACAGCGAAACATTATTGATATTATTCTTTTAGGTGGCATTGTAGCATTTGAGAAGTAACATTATAACTTAAACCGAAGTAACATAAACCGATTTTAATTACAGGAAAAATAATCATACGAGTAAAATTAATGAATGAGAATTATAATGGGACTTTTGTGAGACTGTTTAGATAAACATTTCCCGTTTATATCAATATCCATAGTAAGATTTGTTAGTGAAAGTTATAGCGTCTGCGTCGAATTCAACCCGTTTCAATATTTACTTTTGGCTGAAGTGTCTGCTGAGAATCCACGTGAATGCATCGAAGCGAAAGGGGGTAGGACTCTCGGTGCCTTTTCACTTAACACCTCGTGTATTCGCGCTCCGGCGTCGCGTCGTCACTCGAACAAAACGCACAATATCTCACGGCACGACGTTCGTATCTAAACCAGACCGTCATTGTATCGGTTATAATATCGTCGTCACTGATTGCTCGTTATCGATTGCTTTTTATGAATAAGTCGTTAAAAACGCTTATCACATTACCACCTACATGCAGGGCCGGCGAGAACTTTTGAGGGTCCCGGGGCTGATCAATTCCAGGCTCCCTTTACCTTGGCCAAGATATACATACTTTAGTACAATGAAAATAAAACTCGTATCTCATTCATTACGGCGAATGTGATAATAAAAAAAATTTTGTATAAAAGGTGAGACGATGGGCCCTCACGGACGTACAGGCCCCGGGACTCTATACCTCCTTGCCCCACCCTCTTGTTGGCCCTGCCTACATGTACAATAGCTGAACGGAATTTTCATTAACACGTCGAATCAAAACGACAGATGAGGTCGAGTTCGAATAATAGCTCGTATTCTAGAATACCAATGGACCGGCATTATAAGACTTTGATATCCGATTCATATCATCTAAATGGTTTGACTTTTACATTTAAAGTTTTTTATGTAGTATTTTTTTGTAACATTTTGAAAAGCTATTTAATAAGGAAAAGGTAGACACGAAATTTTAATCGAAACAATCGAGTAAAGAAATGAAATGCAGTTAACGAAAAAAAAGTATTCATCATACATTTGAAATAATATGTAACCCAAAACGAATGCCAAAGTGCCTTCACTGGTTTCTTCCTCAAAACACCGAGTGAATTTAGAAATCATTTTTAAACTGTCACTCATACTTTTTGTACCGCACTATGTACCAATTATAAAATATTCAAAATCAATAAAAATAAATAAATTAATAAAAAATACAATATTTAAATTCCTACAACACGATACGACAAAAACGAAGTTTTCGGGAAAAAGTGCTGTGAAACGAGAACGAAAAGATGGTTGTTGTACACAACACGACAATGAAACTACAACAAAACGAAAAAGACGAACACGGCTCGATTACGCAACCGACGAATAACGAATAAAATTAAAATAAATAACATAAGAAGTAACAATAATGACGGAACGGTAGATAATGGAAACGTCGCACTGTGTTGCATATTAATACCCAACACATAAAGCACGTTATACATACAGAGCAAACATTAACAAAAATTATAAATTCCCTTCCGTATTTATTACTACTTGCAGTACAATCGCTGACAGCTTAAATGCAGTTGGTGTAGTTAGAATTTGCCTTTTTTGTAGACATAAGCGTATAAAATATTGATAATAATAAAACATGATCTGCGCGAAAAATTTAACAGTGCAGAAAGAAAAGAATTTGTTTTAATCGCTGTGTGAGAAATTAAATTTTTTATTTTTATTCGTGTAGGACCTTACACATGAAGCAGCTATACAAATATGTATGAACCTTGTTTTATTGACTACTCATCGAATTATATTCGAAAACCTTACTTTTTATGAAATTTGTGCACAAAATAATATTACGTTAACTACTTTATAAGAAATGTTGTACACTAATACACTCGATTATCAAATAATCAAATTAAATAAGTACGCATTTACATGACCTTATTGAGGCTCATCGCAAAGTTTTATGAGTTGTTTGTTTTCAAATTTTGTTTAATGAGAATATTATTAAATCAAACTAAACGATTCAAAATTATTCAATCAAACTTTAAAACGCAATTAGTTTTTATACAATGAAAATAAGGATAATTAAAATACAATATAACCTTACTGCCCTACCGTGTCTCAATTATCCATGTTTGCAATTAACCATGCTCATTCGTATAAAAATGTGAATGTACCAAAAGTAAAGATATAGGCGTAAACTGTATATTGTTCGTAGTTTAAAGATGAGAAATAGTATTAATTTTATAAACAATGTGTGGACTATATTATAAATAGATTTATAAAAAAATATCCTCCTGAAGTTCTTCGAGTAGATATATTTTGACTTCCATGATGTTAAGAACTCAAGAAAAATTAGAAGTGAAATAAGAAAAATAATTTTAAACCAAAAAAATAAAGACTGATTACTCCAAATGTCAAATTTTAATAATTTTAAAATATGAAAACATGTATTTATTTTGCATAGATTAAATAAAATGTAATAATTAAAAAAAAAAAAAATTAAATTACAATTTACTATATAAAATGTCTCGATTAACCAGGGTTTTTATTTATCTATATGACACCTCCCCACAATTACCCCGGATAATCGAGATTTCACTGCAGTAGCAAAGGTTGGTTATTACTAAATACATGTTTATAATAAATTTGCATGTACATGGTTTCATTTTGAATAATTTAAAAAAATTTATCAATGTCAAAATCAATAAATTATATTATATATGAGTATAAATAACATTAGGCATGGTTTCATCAATTTCTTCATCGGTGTACCCTACACGATATGTATTGGGATCATCTGTTGGAAATAAAATAAACGTAATGTCATCGTCTCTATCTTCAACTACGTAAGTTGAAACTCCGTCTAATTCATCTTCGATGGTCGTACGAGTAGGTGGCATTTCCAATCCCCTTCTTAGTACTTCACTACATTAAAAAAAAATTATTTAAATGTATATATTGAACAGTATAGAATATTTAAATCAGATAATATAACTAATGTAATTGAATACATATTATTTAACTAATTGATAAAACTAGTTTATAACTAAATAATAGATAAATATTAAATTAAATTAAATGTATCAAATGTGGATTTAAAAAACGATAAAAACTTATTTCACGTAAAGAATTTGAATAAATATGAAGTATATCTTCGGTTTAAATTAAAGGTGATTGGTGGACTATGGTACATCTTGAAATTGGCTGGC